CGTTCGCACCTTGCTCAGTTTTTAAGCGTACATCTTGGTTATACAAAAGTATTAGAAATTGGCGACAGCTAAGCAAAATTCAGCAGGTATGGTTAAATGCATGATTCAAATCGTCCCAAGAAGCGTCAGTTCAACCCTGATGGAGCAAGTCAAAAATTATAGTTCCGAAATTCAAATACCATGTCAATACCGATGCACATCGGGAAGTACATGGCTTGTCAACTGCAGCCGACTCAGAATACTTAAACAGACCCTATCATTCACAAACAGGGCATGACTGGTCCTGCGCTGTCAGAGTTTCAAACGTATCAAATCATGCTGCCAGCAGGGTATGCTAGACAATCGACAAGAAAGAAAAATGGACGATTGACGAGTGAAGTGGATGGAGTTTATGAAGGGACGACGACGAATCAACTGCATATTGACGTAGGTAAATTCAAAGTGGCCTATACGTGCCGTCAACCGAACCCAGCAAGTATGCTTAAGGCCACATCTTGCGGAACAAATTCACATGGTGCGCCACTGAGTCGCTGGTTGGTGTTGACAGGGACCACCTGAAGTATTCGAAGAAAGTAATAAAAACGGTAAAACAACATATCGGATGCATACTGTGTTACAGTCGTTTTGCAGACTCGTCTGACTGCAAATGGCACAGCCAAGTGCTTTTTGGAACACACCAGTAAGGGCTGAGAGTTATGGCGTAAGTATTGTTACTACATCCAAGACTCCAAAGTGAGGAGCAGCTGAAAACGTTAAAAGTAAGTTCCACCCTCCAACTCAACCTAGTCTTAAGACTCTGAGAATGTAAGCAAGATGGTAACGGTGTGCACTAGGCCGTCTCCACCGGATTATCACGAACCTTAACCGAATGCGCTGCCATCTTTCCGACATGGCAACGACACAGACCTCAGGCTCGGAAAGACAAAGATGAGCATGTAGAATTAAGTCATTCAATTTTATCGGACATTTTACTCTCTTCAAGTTTCGATCATATCATGTCTTTCCAAACTACGTCAATCCTGTTCCCAAGTTAACAGTGTTCAAAAACGGTCTGAATGCCTATTGACCCCTATACACAACGTGTTCTTCCGCAGATGATGTGACAAGAAAAACCTTGCTGGGAGTTCGAAATGGGCGTTGTAACCATTGTCCTCATGGGAATATAATTAGTCGGTATTAACTTTTTGCACATAACAAACCATGTTCCATCGTTCGTGTACTGAACAGACCGCAGTTCGGTTCATGTGTCCTCAGCAACTTGAAGAAATCCCCTACACGAACTCAAGTCATACACATTCGCTTTAAAATGCGTCGACAGTTTGACATCAATGTAAGTTTTCCACCTCGGTAGGGCGGCAAGAAATTACCCCAGAACTACTCACCTCGGCATTTGTCAAATACAGCCATATGCGATGCATTATTTCTGGCGATTCTCCTTCGAAAGCCAAGACAAAAAGACTAGAAGTAGTGACTCTGTCACGGTCGTGGAATAAACTAAAATCGAAGGTCAGCTGCTCCAGGTCACTACGCAGAAAGACAGGAGGGACTGAAACGGTAGAATGGAAAGGGAAAAGACTGCATAGCGGTGGAATTTGGCAAACCTTGAAAAAAGGACACAGAAAGTATGGTATTTGAAAATAGTGTCGACACAGATTAAACCGAGAGCGCTGGTTTTTACGAGGTACATCTCAAAGCAAAAGCACAGGGGCTTACTTTCGAGGGGAATCAGGTCTGTCCTCAGTTGATCCTTGATACTCGAAGGCACGTGAACAATCTTGGGGTCAAGGCTGAAACAGTCGTAGCATCTTGGTCGGCCACTGAGTTGAGGATCTAACCCTATCCCGTTGATCACAACCTCATCTACACAGCCGAACAAGTTGGTGATCGGTGCCTGTTCAATTTAAAAAAGAATGTTGTATTGGTGAATAAGAAATATGACAAACGCTCATTTCAGATGGTTCCTGGATGTTTGAGGTACCTAGTGAGTAAATAGATTGTGACACGCAAGCTGGCTTCAACTCCAAGTCAATCTATTCCCCCTGAACAGTGTAATCGAAGTGTATAGGACAAGGAGAGCGTATCGTCTAACACCTGAGTGGTTCAATTATGGCCTCCGTGATCGATTTGAAGGCGGTTCCCCGGCTTGAGCTGTGTATCGCAATCAGTTAACGCAGAATGGGGTCCACAAAACAGGCCGACAATTAACGTATAATCGGTGTGGTTAGCGATGCCCACAGAGCCCGATAGTGTAAAGGCAAAAACGTCAGGCGGCATCCCTGTAAGTCCTAGGAAATTTCTCAGGAACGCCAGGAGTATGAACATTGTTACAGGGTAGTTATTTGCACTATAAATAAATAATAACTAAACGTTTTATTCCTCGACAGTGCGAGGCATAGACCAATTGTGTGCTCTTGCAACTTGTACAACGTGCTCGCATAATAGTTAAAAAATTAATCATTAAGTAGTTAATTAGTCAAGTAATAGTACTGCTTTGTACAATGGTTTCCATATAGGTTTTTTGAAGTAATTATCAGTTTGAAGGTAATAGAGAGATTACGGAACTGGGAACAATAATAAATGTAGATTTCACGGAAAGTTCAAGTAAAATAATACGGCCATCCATCTTCACAGCGGACAGAACGTCAATTATCTGCGGCCGAACAGTCTGTTGGTGAGATAATAAGTAAGAATACTTTGTCGCTACTGCATGTAAACTATACAACTGACCTAATTGTACAATCACAGAAGATTGATCCTAGGAATGGTGCTTAAGGACCAAAGTGGTGCTTGCAAAGGTTTCCATATTTTTTCACCTATCATGTGCGGCACCCACATCGTAAGAGATCTAGCCTTCTCAGACGGCAGTTAACTTTTCAAACGCTTCAGCCTGAAGATTACATAAGCTAACAAATTGTACGTTAGCAACAGCAACTTTTCTACCAATATTGGCATACCACTCCAAGTGGCAGGGAAAACTTTCAAAAACAATTTATCTAATTATAACAAGACGACTACAGGATTCACCTACTAGATCCTAACCGACTCACTCTCAACTCCCTGTCTCCGTGCGGTCGCATTCTCTCTGCTCTCGCACTTCGCCTAGATTTACTCGCCCCATTCTTAACGCACATATGTATGTGCCTACACACATTCAAGGCAACTTGACCAGCGTTATGCAGTGCACTCCATTTTTCAAACCTAAATTGTGCGGATCCTCTTTTACCTCCACATCACAGTTTCTGCACTCTTCCCATAGAAATATATGCGCGCAACTTTACAACTCCTGAGGCGTAGTAAAATATTTGTGGTCTCAAACGAAAGCCAAACTGGAGGCCGATCTAATGAGTCGTCAACCAAGGCCATGAACCACAAATTAAAGAGGCCATGGGAAACTTTGTGTCTTTTATCGCTCGGTTGACTTGTTTACAGGTCATAACGACTTTTGAGCAAGCGGCGCATTTGCTTGGCCTGCCCTGATGTCACATTAGCAGGACTCTGTCCTAAGAAAGCTTCCTTTCTCTGGAAAAGTCGACACTCATATCGCATTTATACAAAGGATGCGGTGCGTCGACTGTGGGGATGGTAGGGTTTACTCCAAACAGTGCTGGTATGCTCATTATGGTAGGCTGGTTTCTGAGCTCCGGCTTAAGGCGGCATCCGCTAAATCAACCCATGACATAAGTATTTTGGTCGAACCATATCGCGATAAATGTTCGGATGACATTAGTCATTTAGCCGGCAAAAATGATGATTTCGCCACCAATGTATAACACACAAATTCATGACCAATGATCAAATAACAACATCATTGGTTCTGACCCAAATTACTTCGCCACCGCTGCCAGGAAAATGATTGATGCTCGAATTTTCACCGGTCGGCGCAACATCACAGTCAAAGAACTGAGCCCAACTCACTATTGCAATCAGAGGAAGTATCCTGCTCGTACACTAATAAACAAGATCTCTTTAATAAGTTAGTCGAAATGCGGCTAAGTCAATATTCATACGTCTGGGACCCAATCTACTCAGAGATTATCGTCGCCGAACTCGTGATAAATAGTATGTCCCTTCTTTGAAACGATGGCCTCGGAAACGAAGGTGAGGTAATTTTGCAATATCACTGGGACCTACAGTGCTAATCGGTGGAAGATCCGGAAGCGTTGATAATAGATCCTCTGGTGCCATTTGCTGCTGAGAGGCAAGGACGCGTGCTTTGTGGTAGTTACTTATGAATGGAAGGATTTTAGTGAGTATTTTTGTTCGTCGCAATCAGCCGACAATTCAGATATGTCGACCAGCTATCCGGAAAAGCATCAGACGGCCGTTTCGCCCCCATTGGGCGAAACGGCCGTCTGATGCTTTTCCGGATAGCTTTGTGGTAGTTGTTTATCGTCCGCCAATCTCCACCCCAGAGACGAACTTCCGCCCGACATTAACGTTGAGAAGGATCTCGTGATCCCGATACGACCATGTACTCGTTTCAGGTAACTTCAGTGATCACAATCTGGAAGTTCCGGCACCACAAGCGAGCAGTTCAAGACCAACCTGAAAGAGTTTACTGAAAGTATTCCGTTATCCAGCCACGTCAGCTCAACCGCCAAATTCAGAGCGGGAAATAAAACATCCGTGCTTGGTTTAGTGCTCACGAACGAAAAGCTCTTGGCACTACGTGACTACGTAATAACACTTTAAAACTATGTGTGTTATGCGAAATATCCAGGTGAACATATCGGCTTGTCCCGGACAAGTACATACGACATACTAAAAAACTTATTAGAGGAGCCAGTTGGAAGTTTTTGGATGACCGCGTTCCTCCAAGATTGGTCTGGACGGCCTCCTTCGCTGACCGTTGGTGGGGATCAGCTAGAAGTTGTTCAAAAATGTAACTACCTGGGAAGTTGTATCAGCGCCCGTGGGATTGAGGATGAGATCAAGAACCGCTTTTGCTAACCTTCGCCACTTATGGCGCCGGCGCGACATCACTCTTGCCCTGAAGGGTAGAGTGTACAATGCAGTGGTACTTTCGACCCTATTGTACGGCTGTGCAACCTGGCCGCTTAAAGC